CTAAGGAGAGAAAGCAGAAGCAGTGAATAACTTAACTGCAGAGGAAAATGAAACATATGCTTATAGGTAGTGAAAAAAAGTCCCGAATCTGTATTAATTATCCCACAGAGGTAACAGGGTTGCCACAATTCTCAGTTCTGACTAACACCAGCAGATAGCAGCAAACGTGAGAGCTCCCAGACAGTCGTCAGAGCTGTTGGCTTGTTTTGTTTGCAATAGTAAGTGTGTCGGTGAAGGAGGGGTCTTCTCCTCCCCCCTTTTTACTTCTGCCTGCTGTAGTTATTACATAGGATCAAGTACTTGGGCTCCTTCTTCACTAGTGGAGACCACTGAGAAATATGCTTTTTAAATCCTCCCCCCCCCCCCCCCCCCCCCCGCTTTTAGGGAAAAGCCCTCTCTATCGGAAAAAAAAGAAAGCACGAGCACTTGGTAGAATGAAAAGGAAAAGGTCAAGGGAAGGGTTTGCCGGTCTCCTGGATTTATCGGTGGCCACAATCCAGAAACAATTTGGAGGCGAGGCAGTAAAGCACCTTTGCCTTACGGGAGAGGAGGCAGACTTTGCACTTTAATCGCTAAGCAAATAAGGGAGGTGTGCCGAAGGGGGGGGGGGGGAGAGAGAGAGAGCATTTGGACCGGCCCAGGTATTGGCCGGAGAGAAATTGGCGGATCCGGTTCCAAGGAAGGGAAGGGAGGGGAGGGGAGGGGGGAAGGAAGGAAGGAAGGAAGGAAGGAAGGAAGGAAGGAAGGAAGGAAGGAAGGAAGGAAGGAAGGAGGAGGAAGGAGCGAGCGACAGTCTGAACTCTCACTAAAAGTCAAAATGATGAAGGAGGGAAGGAGGGAAGGAGGGAAGGAGGGAGGAGGTGAGTGAAGGAAGGAAGGGGAAGGAAGGAAGGAAGGGGAAGGAGGGAAGGAAGGAAGAATGGAAGGAAGGAAAGAAAGAAAGGAAAGGAAGGAGAGAGGGAGGGAGGGAAAGGAAGGAAGTGAAGGAAGAAAGGAAAGAAGGGAAGGAAGGAAGGAAGGACAGAAGGAAGGAAAAGGTAGGGAGGGCAGGAAGGAAGGGAGGTAGGGGAAGGAAAGCAGGCAGTCTGTTAGGAATGGTGGGAGTTGAAGTCCAAAACACCTGGAGGGCCCAAGTTTGCCCATGCCTGATGTATATTGACAATTTAACGTGGGTTGAAGGCAGCTCTAAGCAGTGGCCAGGTTCCTGTGCTTCCTCCCTTGCCTCGATTTAAGCAAGGAAAGTTCAGAAATAGATTTTGCCCCTGCCTCTGAAATCCTGATGTCTCCCTAGAAGACGAAACAGCTCAACTGGAGACGGTCCCACTTTGGCCCTTCCAGGAGAGCTAGCCGTGGCTCAGAAAATAATTCTGCTTGGCTAGGTCGAAGGCCAGCTCGAAAAGGGGGATTGGAGTGTTGGATTATGAGCTCTGGAGAAGTAGGTTCAGATCCCCGCTGGGTCAGGAAAACCCACTGGGAGACCTTGGGCAAGTCACACACTCTCAGCCCCAGAAAAATCCGTGGTAAAAAATATGGCCAGAAATAGGCACGGGAAAGAGAGAGAAAAATGGCTGCCACCTCGGTTAGTTATGTGTGTGTAATACATGTGTGCCTGTGTGCATATACATTATACATATATAATATAGACACAGATATAAATAAACAAACAAACAAATAAATGTAGATAGGGTTTTTGTGTATGTATGCATATATGTGTGTGTATACCCGATGTAGCCTTGATGGCTCTTTCTTCCAAGCGGCTACCTGCTTGCTTGCTTGCTTGCTTGCCTGCCTGCCTTCCTTCCCTCCCTCCCTCCTTTCTTCCTTCCTTCCTTTCTTCCTTCCCTTCCTCCTTCTTTCCCCTTCCTTCCTTCCTTCCTTCCTTCCTTCCTTCCTTCCTTCCTTCTTTCTTTCCTTCTGTCCTTTCTTTCTTCTTTCCTCCTTCCTTCTTCCATTCCCTCCCTCCCTCCTTCTTTCCCCTTCCCTCCTTCCTTCTTTCTTCTCTCCTCTCCTCCTTCCTTCTTTCCTTTTTTGCAGAGCCCCTTAAAGCTGGTTTCCCAAAAGGACAAGCTCTTCCCTGCTCTCTGGTTCCCATCACCTCCCTCCATTCTTTCCCCTTCCCTCCTTCCTTCCTTCCTTTCCCTTCCTTCCTTCTTCTTTTTCTCCTTTTCCTTCCTTCCTTCCTCCCTTCCTTCCTCCTCCCTTCCTCCTTCCTTCCTTCCCCTCCCTCCCTTCCTTCCTTCTTCTTCCTTCCCTTCTTTTTTTTTTTTTCCTCTTCTTTCCCCTCCCTTCCTTCTTTCCTTCCTTTCTCCTTCCTTCCTTCCCTCCCTCCCTCCGCTCGGCGGAGGGGGAAAAGAAAAGGGCCCGCGGCTGTTAGGAATAGTGGGAGTTGAAGTCCAAAACACCGAGAGGGAAGGCCCAAGTTGGCCCGTGCCTGGCGTAGATGCACCCTGAGTGGTTCAATTCGGGGGGGCTTCCTCTCTCACGTCCCGAGTCAAGCAGAGCTCCTCAAATGGGCATCGATTATTCCCCTCGCCATCGATTGGCCCTGAATGCTGACTGCAGCAACGGGGGGGGGGGGTTAAAAAGGGAAAGTGACCTCCCTGCCGGCGTGACACAAAGTCATTAGGTAAATGAGGTATTCATACAGGTTAGAATCAAGGTCAGGCGGGTTTTTATTGCGGGGAAGGGGGAAGTGGAGAAGAAGGGGAGGGCGGGCGGGGGGGGGGGGAGAGAGATTACACTCAGCCTTGATCTTTGGCGAGGCGGCACGTCGGGTCCAGACTCGCCAGGCTCCACGGAAGGCAACCAAACCTTCTCCAGAAGGGAATCAATGCCTGCTCTGAGTTGCGCCACATTCCTCCCGGTTTGGGGGACAGAGGAAAAGGATGCGGTCCCCTTCCCTCCCCCCCTCCCTCGGATAGGACTCCCTGAGATGAAGAAGAAAGGCAGGGGAGGGCCGCATCTTTATTTATGCACATATTTATCCCCTCTAATTAGAGAAATTAATCCTCTTATGGCTAAAAGGTAAAGTCTTCAGCGCGCCTTTGATGTTTAATAGCATCATTTGTGGCCAACATTCCCGCTGATTAAGGCATAATGGCTGTTAAAGGCTTTGCAAAAGGGCGGCGCGGCGCTTTCCGAGGGGCCCAGAGAGGCTCGGGCGGCCCAAAAAGGCGGGCGGAGGGCCTCCCCCTCCTCCTCCTCCAAATTTCTCCATCCAACTCACCCCTTGCCCACTTCCACCCTGAAGGGCTTGCTTTACAGGATACGGTGGGTGTCTGCTTAGCTTAGAGAAAAGAAGGCTGAGAGGGTATCTGAGACCGAGCCATGTTTACATATTTGAAAGGATGTCACGTTGCAAGGTAAAGGTTTTCTCCTAACATTAAGTCCATTAGTGTCCAGCTCTGGGGGTTGGGGCTTATCTCCATTTTTGAGCCGGCGTTGTCCGTAGACACCTCCAAGGTCATGTGGCCGGCATGACTGCATGGAGCGCTGTTACCTATTGATCTACTCGCATTTGCATGTTTTCGGACTTTTAGGTTGGCAGAAGCTGGGGCTAACTGCTTTCGAACTGCTAAGTTGGCAGAAGCTGGGACTAACTGCGGAAGCTCACCGCCTCTCCCCGGATCCGAACCTGCGACCTTTCGGTTTGGAAGTTCAGCGGCTCAGCGTTTTAGCCCACACCGCTACGGGGGACCCCATGTCACATTGAGGAGGGGGAAACCCTGTTTTCTGCTGCTCTGGAGACTAGGGCCCCTTCCACACAGCTGAATAAAATCCCACATTATCTCCTTTGAACTGAAATATATGGCAGTGTGTACTCTGTTCAAAGCAGATATTGTGAGATTTTTTGCCTTGATATTCTGGGTTATATGGCCGTGTGGAAGTCATAGGACACAATGGAGCAATGGATTCAAATGGCAGGGAAAGAGTTCCACCGAAACATTAGAAAGAACTTCCTGGCCATGTATTGTCGAAGGCTTTAATGGAATCTCTGGGTTGCTGTGAGTTTTCCGGGCTGCATGGCCGTGTTCCAGAAGCATTCTCTCCTGACGTTTCGCCCACATCTGTGGCAGGCATCTTCAGATGTTGTGAGGTCTGTTGAAAACTAGATAAGTGGGGTTTATATATCTGTGGAATGTCTTGCCAAAGAACTCTTGCCTGCTTGAGGGAAGTGTGAATGTTGTAATTGGCTACCTTGATTAGTATTGAATAGCCTTTCAGCTTCAAGGTCTGGCTGATTATTGCCTGGGGGATTCCTTTGTTGGAATGTGTTAGCTGGCCCTGGTTGTTTTATGTCTGGAATTCCTTTGTTTTGTTTTTTAGTGTTCTTCTTTATTTACTGTCCTGATTTTACTGGTAGCCAGATTTTGTTCATTTTCATAGTTTCCTTCTTTGAAATCCACAAGAATATGGACAATTTCAACAGAAAGGAGGAAACCATGAAAATGAACAAAACCTGGCTACCAGTATTTTTAAAAAGACAGTACTCAATCAGGGCCAGCTAACATCTCCCAACAAAGGATTCCCTGGGCAGTAAGCAGCCAGACCTTGAAGCTGAAAGGCTATTCAATGCTAATCAAGGTGGCCAATTGCAACATTCACACCTGCCTCAAACAGGCAAGAGTTCTTTCTCCCACCCTGGACTTTTCCACAGATATATAAACCCCAATTGCCTAGTTTCAAACAAACCTCACAACCTCTGAGGATGCCTGCCATAGATGCAGCCCGGAAAACTCTCGCAACCCACTGAAGAGGGGGGAAACTTGCTTTCTGCTGCTCTGGAGACTAGGACACAATGGACAAAGGATTCAAACAGCAGGGAAAGAGTTCCACCTAAACTTTAGAAAGAACTTCTAAAGATTCAATAGTAGAATATGATGCGTTCTCTAGAGTTTTTTAAGCACATCTGCTGGAAGTGCTTTAATTGTGCCTTTCAACAGGGCAGGAGGTTGAACCTGATGGCCTTTGTGGTCTCTTCCAACTATGGTTCGATGGTC